AGAGAGAGAGAGAGAGAGAAGGAAAGAGCGTTTTCTGGTTCGTAAATGGATCTATGTATATATGTACTTAGATTGTAGTCAAAGGAATCGTCAACAGTCAAGCTTCCCCGGTTAGAGTTTTAGTGTCCCTTCTTCTATATCTACTGCCATCTTTGATCGCGAATTTCAATATTGATTTGTAGATAAATTCTCGAAAGTTTATTTTCTATGTTATAGTTATCTCTTCGAAGATATTCGAAATGTTTTGATTTCGAGATTATTCTTAAAATTCTAATTTTGATATTAGACATTCATGTATTCTTAAATAAACTTTGATGTTAACAGATCAATCGCTTTTCGTGATCATTGGACTTTTCATAGTTCAATTCATCCATCGGCTCTCCATTGAAAAAACTGTTATAAGTATTTCTATAGACATCTCTTCTACCTATACGCGGTTATATTGGATCTTCCCAATTTCTTTCTCCAATTTCGTTTTCAATTCGATATTGTAAACGGTACATTCGATCGGGTTATGTAAATTGTATAATACAGTTCTCATTTTTGAGTTTGTTAGAAAAGAATCTCTGGATCGAGATATATATGTAGCGAATAGATACAAACGAGATATAATCTTTTATATACAATATGAAATAGTATAGGTAATACAGTGTGTAATCGTGTATGTTTATTATATTTGTATATTTCGTTTTTTTTAATACAAGTTTCCATCCATATCAAACGTAAATTTTTGATGTTTTATCAGTTTCTAATTCTCATACGTACAACATGAGCTCGCTGTAAAGTTTGAAAAATTACATTTTAACGATTCCGTGGTTTGGTCCCAATGGGGTTCCAAATTTCACTGGGTATATTTGTTATTTCGACATTTACATTAGAAGTATTAAAAATACTTGGTCGTTTTGTTGTAAATCGTACTTTCCAATGTTATTTTACTTTCATTATGAATAAATCGATGACAGATTTATTATTGAACGCAATTCGACTGAACGATGTTAGACGATGGAAGAAAAATCGAAATTGAATTGAATTATTTTGCTTTTTAAATGTAATATTCGATTCTCTGTTTAAAATTTGCCATATTGTAGTAATGTTACGTCGACTTTATAAAGCAACGAAGCAAAAGGTACTACTACTGTTTACCGTTAACTGGCACTCGACTCGTTTTTAGTTAGCTTCCTTCCTTCTGGTTGAACTTCTAAATTTGTACACACGGTACACAGGGGAATATGGTTTGACCTCTCCATCGCTGTCACCATCATCTCCTGTGGGATCGTCTCGGTCCGGTTTTGAAGATCGATATATTTGACTTTTTTCGTAGACTTGTACTAAAAAAGACAATTACAAATATGATAAACGTCATGTTTCATTCGTAACGATTCGTAAACGTTAATTTACAAACAACGAAGCTTACAGATTTCTTCTGATTGATTCGTTTCTCCTATCTCCTTTGTTGAAATCTCATTTTCATTTAAATAAGATGCTTCCGAAGTATTCATAACATTTGATGATAAAGTATCGACAGGCAACGATAACGTATTTTGTGGATCTTCGTAATTTCTAAGAGGTATTGTACCAACTATCACTTTTGTTCGAAGTTTTAAATTTTTTTGAAACATTCTGTAATACCATTCGCTCACGTCGACGCAAGCTTCGGCCTATTAATTTTATTACCTTTTAATTAACTCTTCTATTCGATTAACTTTATCTTACCTTAAGGGTATATAAAACATCAATGATATTGCAATGAATCATTCCAGTTGGTGGCACAGCCGGTACGTCAAACACGATGTCGTATGATTCGCAATTTTTATCGGTCGGTTGTTCGATTTCAACTACTATTTCTTTATGTTTCCTAGATTTCTCTGTAGCATGATACATAATAACCTGAAATTAAATTCAAATAGATTACGAAATTATGTTATATCTCACATAGACAAATTTTCTATTATATTATTGTACCTTTTTAAAGACAATTCGCAATTTTTTAACAATTACATTAGAATAATTTTTTAACAATATTTGAATCGGTATAGTTTGTCCTGGAACGTAGCCTCTTACTGGCAATGACATCGACATGTTAAGTGATTCAGTTTGACCCATGTAAACCTTAGATTGTTTCTCGCTGACAGGTAGCTTTAAATAAATAAATAAATATATTTTACAAATTTTGATATGAATATATAAAAAATATTTGGGTTAAAAAATCGTTGAGAAAGAACGAAGAGGATCTACATTGCACGAATCTAAGATACGGTAGCTCACGTTTCCAGTTTCATACTCACCGGTGCGAGAGAATCTCGATTAAGGTCGAGGGTGGGTGCTACGGTGAATGGAATAATATTGGTGGAAAACCGATAGACGCTCGTTATGTCCAACAATGCCCTAATTGAATAGCGCACACGTCCGTAGCGGCCTTCGAAGCTGCACGGCAAGTTTTCCGGAAGTGTCAGGCTGAACGGGTAGACGCCTCCGGTTATCGTGTTCTTTACATTTCTCTCTGTTTGTAGACGTTTTTGTCACATTTATATAAAATATAAAATAAATTAAACTCAAGGAAAAAAAAAACAAAAAATAATAGAAGAAAAGATAATAGAGAAAAATCAAAATGAAAAGTATTCAAATATTAAATTATATTATTTTTTTATTTTTTTTTTATTTATATCGTATTAATTTTTGTCTATACTTTAAATCGTTTTATATGTTCATAGTTGAAATAAAAAAATTGATTGAATTTCTTTTTACATAACTGACAAAAAAAAAAGCGTTTACCTCCTACGACGTAGAACTCCTCGTGCAAATAATTTTCATCCGACGAGAATTTGCGCCTTATTCCTGCCGAACGATCGGTAAAATACACCTGGGCTTCTCCTTTGCATTTTAGGCGGATTCCTGTAGAACGGAGAGACAGTCTTAATCGAAACGATTGATCGATGAAAAAGATCGAAAACTGTATGATCGATGGTAAAAGATATTAAAGAGTTTTTCGCGAAGCGTACTAAATGAAATCAAATGCAAAAATATCGCACGTGATACTGAAACTAATTTTCCCCGCCCCCAATCTTAAAAGGGTGGTCACATACATACAATCGTAAGTGTGTGTGTGTGTGTGCATTTATGTTACGTATGTAACATCACTTAGAAATTTTAGGTCATTCGTTACGCAATACGATCGATAATAGAATTGGCACGCGTTCCGCACAACAGAATAGAAAGATTTTGATAATCGAGATTAGGACAAGTGTAAACAAATCTTATATAAATAGAACAATTGTTTTCGCGCGTTGTTAAATTATCATGTTAATCGTAAATCGTTGAGACAATAGAGATACGTAATACGTCGCAGTATGGATTTTTCAGATTTTCGTTACGATAGTAATGCGATATCAATGCGATAAATCGCATCTTTCTTTTTTATTTTATACCTATAAAATCTATTTTCAAACTCAATGATCCTTATCTTTTTCTAATAGATACAAATGTCCAGATCGAATTGATAATATCGAACGGTGGATATATCTTTCTAAGATTTATAATAAATCTTTCGGTAGTCGAGAACGAACATGATCGTGAGAGAATTTTGCATTAAAAAATATTAAATTAAAAACAAAATAATTCGACTTACCAATCGCGTCAACCGGCTCGTCAAGGTAGAGATTAATTTTTCCAGTAATTTTGTTCCCACAGTAATATACTTTCTGAGGATGATCCAGTACGAGATCGATTCGTTGAAAACCAATGCTGTTTGGTATAAATAATTATTACTTAAAGTAGTATATATTATATTGTTAACATACATGTACATTCATATTAAATTCTTTTGTATATATATATTTTAATTAATTAAGATGCATTTATGTAACAAATACCTCTTGCATGTAGTCTCAGAGATTGGTGATGTAGGCTCGGATTCTTCTTGATCCTTCATTATCGCGCGTGTCCGGAAGATCTTTTTAGAAAGTATTCACGGGAGACAGCAAACTACGAGGACGATTGCGAAAACACTGCGTGCAATAGCGTTATGCAAGCGGATGTACCTTCCTCTTCGATTTCATGATCGAATCTAATTTAATTTCATGAAATTAAGGAGAGACACAGAGAAAGAAAGAGAAAGAGAAAGAGAAAGAAAGAGAGAGTACGGGAGAAAAAAAAGAGAGGGGGAGAGGGAGAGAGTTAGAATTCGAAAAGAAAGGATAGGAAATGTAGGTAATGTTCGTTTGCACTACGCGAACACCTCGATGGCTTACAAGTTAAGGATCTGACACGAAGAATGTTTGTTGACAAGATTCCAAAATCGCAAAGACTAGACCTGGAGAAAAGCGACGCATGCGTCAGTAAGTTCGCCAATATCATGGCGACATTCCGTCGCGCAGACTACCGAAGAACACAACCTTTGCTCTTTCTCGGTTAGCACGGATAATCGAAGAACTCCCAGTTGGCCTAGCTCGTCCTCCGTTAGAACAGGTTGATAAGTATTATATTGGATGGTCATGTTTCTATAGCGTGCTTGTGGATTAGGACTGACACGAAAGTTTATCCTACCATTATTAAATTACTTATTTACCTGAACCTGTTTTTTTTATTCTTCCTTTGTAAAACATCATTTTATAGTTTGATCCTTTGTTATTTCTTTTTTTTTCTTTCTTTCCCTTTTCAGTTTTATTTTTATTGGAATTTATGTTAGACCGGTCATAAAATTAATTCTTCTATTCATCTTTCTTTTATTTAAGTCACGAATAGTATGTTAAAATAAAATATATTTTTTCGTTGAAATAAATTGCTTCTAATAGGTTTTCCATGTGTTAAAAGATTATCGTGTTACATTATGACAAGGTGCTCGCATTTTCAGAATTGAAAGTAGTTTGGTTATCGATTTTTTGACGTTCTTTATTTTAACCGATCGATTTATCTAATTTTAGATGGCCTTCGAGAAAGAATCCTTATCTCTAAGGATTTCCTTTTTAAACGAAAAATTTAATGAACGAATTAGAATATAATCTTGAAAAGTAGGTTCTATGTCTCGACTGAATACTCTCTTCATGATGAACTCATTTTCCTTTCGCCATTTTAATATCACGGATCTGTGCATAACACGGTAACTAGATGCTGGGCGATATTAATTAGGCATGCTGACAAGCATATTATATCCTCGTAATACTAAGTAATACTGCTTAAAGATCGTTCTAATTAACGTTATCTTTTTGAGGAGGTTCTCGAGTTACTAATTTATGCCATTTGTACCTCTTTGACACAACTAAATGACGAGCTTCTACTGATGCATCTCTTCATTGATGATGATATCGAATTAATTTCAATAATATTGCGTGTTCTGGAATCAATAAATCAATGTCTCTCTCCTTCTCTCTCTCTCTCTCTCTCTCTCTCTCTCTTATTGTTTCTAATTCAATTTAACATCGAGTAACTAAATGAAATTTAATTTTCTTTTTAATTATATTACTTTTTTGTGAATCCCTTTTACGGAAATAGTTTTGTATTTGGTGGATGTATATGATTACTAAACTATTCATCTTCTCACACGAAACCATCTATACATCAGATATATTTTATTTATATACGTATTTATACATGTTCAAAGTTAGTAAAATTCAGTATATTTGTTCAATTTACGTCCAGTGGCTTTTCCGTTCGTTGTTAAGAGTATCAAACAGGATCATAGGTTATACGGTTAGTAAATGGAGTTAGTTTCCAAAATACCTGGATGCTTCACGCACTAACGAGTTCCTGATGCTCCACGTGCCGCAATCTCGGACCGCAGCTTCGTTAGACGGAGATAAAGTGGTGCGCGAGGCTGCGGAAACGATCGCCTGGAAATTGCAACTAAAGACTATCTACTCTCGTGGTCCTAAGAATTCGTCGAATAAATCGTTACTCTTTGTTAACTTTGACACGTGAAATAATTGTCTTAGGGTGCACCATTGCATTTGGAGCTCAACCATTCTTCCAGTTCTTTATAGGATCGTCATTTTGCCATTCATCTCTTTAATTGTTTTAGTATCATGATATATGTTATATGATTTATTCTCTTAAAACTTCAAATATTGAATGAAACAAAAAGAATGACTTTTATTAGATAATGTGTTGATAGAAAAAATGTTAAATGAACATCGGAGGAATGTTACATCTGACGTTCAGTACAATTGTTAAATGAAATATAGGATGATAAGATGATAAGAGGGTTTTGAAAGTTAAGAAATTAAGTAGTACTCGTTTAGGTTTACAGGTTCTCATAGCACTCGCGAACGATGGATCTTATCAGGATTTACGGTATCATACTCCTATTAATGCTTCTCTCTCTTAGATCCTTAGGGAAACTCAAAAACTCGGTCAAGAAAGGGATTCCGAAGAACTCTCTCCATTAAGTTATCAGGAAACGAACTTTTTCGAGGAGCGAGAAACAAAATGAACAATTACAAATTTGTTGTTGTTCTTCGTCATCATTTATTTGAATACATTTCTTTTTGTACTAACACATTGAATTAACACAGAGAATTTATCTTTATATTATTGGCTATAACTTCGTAATTTGATTGAAAAATAAAATAATATAAATAAATTTTAATCAATTTTACTTGTTGTGTTAATCTTTTAATATTTTTAAAAAAGAAATATGATAAGCCGCGTTAATACTTCTTTTTATATCCTTAGGGAAACTAAAAAACTCCTATAAATGTACACAATACAACTATTTGAAGAAAGAAACATTTTTTTCGTTGAATTTTTCTTTTGAACTAATTTACTATTTTCAAATCACGGGGCCATGTAACTAATGTCGATTCGATACATGCAAAATGTGAGACGCGCGTTTACAGGTATTACGATCGAACAAGTAATTATCTTGTCTCTCTTGCAAAAGGGTGAATGAAACGAAGTAGTAAGGGAGTAAAAGAGTAGGGCAAAGAGAGAGAGAGATAGAGAGAGAGAGCGAGGGCGAGGAAGCGTCGATGGGACAAATGCTAACGAACCGGAGAATGAGTAGTTATGGTTCGTTGGATACTCAACAACCAAATAATTAGCGGCTGAATTCGAATTCCCGTGTGGTTCGTGAATTTTACTGGAGCTTATTATCCTTGAATGGAATGCTACTTGGAAATTCCCAAAACATATTTTATTAGAAAGTTAGAAACTCATCCTGGATTCGTTGATCAATAGAAATACTTGTTTTTATCTTATCGATGCTTCTTGAGATTAATTTGACCGTACTAATGACGTACGAAAGGGACAATAGAATTGAGAAATAATCTTTTATTCTCTCGTCTGTGAAATTTCAAGATAGAAAGTTTCTTTATAATGTTAAAACTTATCTTATCTATAAAAAGAAAAATTAAGAATATCCACAATTTTTTTTAAATATTATTACTTTAGATTTAAACGCTGTTGTTAGGAAAATAAAATTAAGCATTTTGTTTTGAAATAAGGTTTTTACGTAATTAACATAGTTCTCGAATTTTTTTTTTATATTTTTCAATATACAATTTTTTGTTATAAGTATTTGTTCTCTATGAAGATAATAGTTCCAGAATATTTTTTAGATACTATAATTAAGGTGAGAATTGGGAAATGGAAAAAAATAGAATAAATGACATTATTAACGTGCAAATTGTTTTTTTTTTTATTTTTTTTTTTTTATAACATTTCAGTGACAATAATTAGCAATTAAAAAAATATTGACATATATATATATATATATATATATATATTAAAATTAGTCTTAGATTCTCCATAGTCGTTTTCTTAATTCTAACAATTGAGCTGTTTTTTTTTTTTTTAAATTGTACAAATTCATATGTAATCCTTACAAATTTTTTCACTTTTAATCAAGTGTTATAATTTAATATCAGAAATAATATTGAACATTTTCACATTAATTAATCTTTATCAATATTTTTGAATAATTTCAAACAGTTAATGTCTTAATAGAAGATTAATTAATACTTTAAAACAAAAAACAGCTCAATATGTGTTAATTAATATTTCAGTAAAAATATACAATATATAAAAATTGACATTTTTTTAACTTTTGTTTTTATAATGACATTTCAGTGACAATATTTAACAGTCCAAAAAATATTGACATATGTATAATCAATTTTATATTGTTCACAGTCGTTTTCTTAATTCTAACAATTGAGCTGTTTTTTTTTTAAAGTTGTACAGATTCATTTGTAATTCTTATAAATTTTTTCACTTTTAATCAAGTGTTATAATTTAATATCAGAAATAATATTGAACATTTTCACAATAATTAATCTTTATCAATATTTTTGAATAATTTCAAACAGTTAATGTGTTAATAGAACATTAATTAATACTTTAAAACAAAAAACAGCTCAATATGCATTGATTAATATTTCAGTGTTTATACACAATATTTAAAAATTAATAAACATTTCCATGTATTTTGAAGTGGACAAATGGAAAATGGATTATTTTCCTATAATTTTTATAACGTAACATAGAATGATTTTTGATTTTGGTATCGAAGCTATTAAATAATGTTTAACTTATCAAATCTATAAATATCTATGATGAATCTATTTATAATATCAAAAAAACATTATATTATTAATGAGTTAATGTAGAATAAATTGTTATAATCATTAAATTTGAGTATTTTACATAATGAGATTTTACTTAACCTTTTTTTCATTTGCACGTAATTTCTAAACAATATTTACATAAAATTAATGGATTTGATATATGAGCCGTCCATTAATGTGTACTTAAAAAAGAAACTAATGGCTTTAGTTTCGACACGTCTTTTGTAGAAAATTGTTTGATTATAAATTCTTTAATTAATATAAAATAAGCTTATGTAATTTCGGCTCTAATTTTATCAGCTTAATTTTTTTTTTTCACTGTAACTATGTAATATTTACAGTTTGGCATATACATTTTAATGTTGTTGTGTTTCATTATTTGTTAGATTTGTTAGAATGTTGTTCACGTAGTTTATCAAAATCTATATCAGATATGTAATCAAGAAAATCTCTTTCGAATTTAGGAATCGATTCTTTAGGAATTTTATATTCAAATTTCATTTCGTTTCCGATTTTGTAAAGGTTTCTTGATATTACCGCATTTTTTCGTCTGTTGGGGTGATGTACCTCTATATGAAAGTAATAATCTCCTTTATTCTCAAATATTTGACCTTTAAATACAATATATGTTATTAATTTATTATTATTTTTAATCTAATTATATTAGTTATCCAAATCGCGTTAGATTTTGAAATATTTAATAGGATTTGATATAATTTCCATTTGTTACATTTGAAATAATAAAAAATTAAAAATCAAAAATACATCGTACCGTATACGTTACAAATAATACGATTAAGTATGAACTAATCTTAAAAGTCTCTCTCTCTCTCTCTCTCTCTCTCTCTCTGAGTGTTGTAAAAAAAAATTCTCTTTATAGGTTAATGTGGATCCATTCTCTTACTTTTAAGCAAAGTGTTTCGAAAAAAGGGACAAAAGTATATTATAAACGAAGACATGCAATTTAATGAATCGTAGTACCTATCTATCGTTTAACGCGTTGTGATTAATGTTAATCGAAGAAAGAAAAGAATTTTAAATAAAATTCATTAATCCATTAACTGCCAAATTATTTTTTGTTTCAGAAATATTTATATTTTTTAAAAAGTCTTAAAATCGGAATTGTGGCTGGTTGCACGACAAAAACTAATAAGAGACTATTATTTATTTCTTTTATTATTATCCTATACATACAAAATAGCTATTATTATGACATTTTTCCATACAGTCCACATAAAACCGAGTGATGTACGTAAAATTCCAAAATCTCCAAATGGGGATCGTGGCAGCTAATGGGTTATTAATTGTTAACTTACCGCAACAGATCTTTTTTTTCTTTTGTTCTTCATGTATTCGTTGGCTATGACGTATCAGGTTGTAGTGCCTGTCAGTCGAATACTCGCATTTGTCACATACATATTTAATACTTTGGTCTCTGTAAAATTATTAATTTTTATGAATTTTGTGAAATATAATTGATTAATAAGAAAAACAATAATATCGTTTGGACTTGAATACTAAATAATTTTTTACGAAATTACTACACCGATTTATCGGGTTCAAAAGTTTAACAGTTATTTAATATTCATTTAGATATTTTTTTGTTAAGTATTCGGATAATGTTCGTAGTAAAATAAAAAGCACAAAAAAATCGAGAAAATAAATTTACGCGAGAAAATTTGATTTATTTTATCGAGGAATCTCATTCATATCAAATCAAACAGATCTTCGAAAAGGTTTAATACTTACGAGTTTGTATTGTCTTTTTCCATTTTTTTTAATAATTAATATGTCACGACTAGGATAGATTACTTTTTTCAAACAAATGTTTTTTGGAGTTTTCTATGAGAATGTTTTCTCAGTACACAAAGAAAACACCACAGGTTTGATCGGATTGAAAATGTAGTGACTGGTTGGAGCAATCGAAGTGTCTCGTTTGTATATTAATATTTTCTTAAATATCACACAAACACGATAAAACGCAATTTTGGAGTTACTCCAAAATATATATGATAGTTTTAATTTACACTTGGTAATTCAATAGGAAAAACCACACTTAGAAAATTTGTTCAAGTTAAAAAGAGGAGCAATGTTAAAGAACACGAGGAAGTAACTGACTGCTTCTATTGACCGCTCCGATCGAAATGATTGTGTCGCCGATATTATTAAACTGACGGATAGAGAAAAAACAAAATTTTGTGAAAAGCAATGAAACTTACTCCTACCTTTATCCCCACCCTAACTACAACATCTTCTTAACCGGAGAATCTTCGAATTTTTCAAAACGGAGTAGATGATTGGATTAACATTGGAGTAGGTACACTAACATCCCCCCACTTTTTTTCTTTTTATGTTTCTTATTCCTAAAGGATGGTTGTTATTGGAGGAAAATTCGAGCCAATAGGCAACCAACTAAAAGTAACACCCAGTTTAGTTTTTCTGGATTCCTTTTGTAAAAAAAAGAAGTTGTTTGTTATTTTAGTCCAATAATACAATACAACACATTTTTCTATTCCTATACAACAATCTTACCCTAATAGATTTAGCGATAAGTCACGAATATATGTTATCTCTATTTGAATAAAAGATTTCTTTTTTAAAAGAGGGTTAGATATTCGATATTATTTTTCTTCTATTTTAGAACACGTGTTTAATGCTATTGTAAGGATGTAATTGCAGTGGCGAAAGGACAAAGGTCTTCATCTTAAGTAAACACCGAAGTATTTTATGACCATTTCATCTATCTATCGTTAGACCATTTCAGCATTATAAAATATATATATTTTTTTTTATATAAAAGAGAAATAAATGAAATGAAAATAGAAAAGAAAAAGATTTAAAAAAGAAGAAGAAGAAGAAAAAAAAGTGGACAGATATTCGGGAGGTAATCGATATAATAAAAGTTTAGGAAAGACTGTAAAATTAAAAGAAAGAAGGGAAAAGGGAAAAGAGAGTCATCGAAAAGGAATGTCATTTTCTCCCATTTTTTTTTCTTTTTTTTTTTTTTTGAATAGATATTTCGGAGCTTAATTGTTTTCTCATGAAACATTCTTTCTTATCTGATATTTTACCTACTTACCGTTTGGCTATTGTATTGCTGTCAAGATTTTGTTGGGTTACGAAACATGATTGATTTAAAATAAATGTACCTGTTGCATCAGGCTTTTATTAATCACGGCTGAATGTTGTTTCAGGAGTGTAAGGAATGTTAATCTGTAGGGCAAGGTACAAGAAGAATTCGTGTAAACATTAGTACATTTTAATGACATTTTTGATCATTAAATTATAATTTTTCTTAAAGACATGATACACACATACTTTAAATTTGACAATTTATTTTAACCTTTTTCGGATGCGTGTCCACTCTCAGCCACCAAAGCCTTTTTATTGTTCCGGTCGTATGTCTGCTATCAGTCACCACACAAGAAACCGTGCTAATCTTTTATTTATATATGTATATATATTATATTATATATATAAATTAATTCCAACCACTACGACACCCATGTCCAAATTAAATACGTCCGAAAAGGGTTAATAATTAATAATACAATTAGATATAATATATTTTTAAAAAGATTTTATTTGCGAAAGATATTATAGTCGTGTGTCGTATTGGAATATGATATCCACGACGTGCCGCCACTTTAGTGGCTTTTCTTTTCTTTGTAATATTTATATAGAAAAATAGAACAATTAGAATGAATATAAGATTAATTATAAACGTCGGAATAAGTGCGAATTAGCGTGTTATTATCGTCACTTTAGTACGTCGAAGGTACGTTATCTTTTCCCCGTGTGTTAGCATGATTTAGACTTTTTTTTTTCTAGAATGACACAGTTATCCATAGTGCTTTTGGCTTGGCATTTATCATGCTAGCAACGCGGAGTGTGTCTGATTTCCCCAGGTGCGCATACACGTGCACGAGCCTGGAGTCTCCTCGCGTATAGATTAGAATGGAAGCATTGTGTAGATAATTTGCAACTGCATTTCTCATTGATGAGAGTCTCGATGTTTGTTTGTTTGTTGTGTTGTGTTGTGTTGGTAGACTCTTCCGTTATTTTTCTGATACATTTTAAACGAGTTTTAACGGTGCTTTGACGCAACGCTAGTAGCATCTTTAGATAGAACGATTGAAAAATATATGTTACGAATATATTGAATATTTATTTTTATAGTTTTATTTTTTTTATTTTTATTATAACAAATTTCTTTCTTTTTCCTCCAAAAACATTTATTCGTTCGATTTTGATGGAATGAAAAATCGTGCTATACTCGTCGTTGTTCTTCCCTTCGTTTAAAAATTGATAAAGAAAGTAGACCGAAAGATTCATACGTGCTGAGATTTTTAGGTCAACGATAATATCTCTCTCTCTCTCTCTCTCTCTATCTTTCTCCAGTGTGATTTATTGTGAGACAAATCGATAAACGACAACAAGAGAAAAGTACACACATTGCACAGAGACGATTTTAACCCTATATTTTCTCTTGAAAAGCTAGACGACGACAGGAGGACTTTGGGTCCGACACCAGACAAGCCAATAAGCTCTCGCTACTTTTTACACGTTTGTTCGTTTTACTTCGCGAAAAGATAGACAGAAAAGGAGAGAGAGAGAGAGAGAGAGAGAGAGGGAAAATAAGTCGGAATAAATTCGATAATCGTTCGAACGTTTAACCTTATACTCAGACTTACCATCTGTTTGAAGTGTCTTGAATTTGATCATTTTATTTTATCTACGATTAATCTCGTTGCAATTTCAATCTTAACTCGTGATATTAAAAGTCTAATCTATGTAGTGTAATTAGTATTTCTTTTTTTTGTCTCTTGGAAAAAATAAATATATTAAAAAGAAGAACAATAAAAAAAAAAAAAAAAAGAAATAGATATATATGTATATATACTAAAGACTGCACGTTCGAAGTCGTTCGTGTTAAATTCGGGTCAGCGAGCATGGCTTGGCGAAAGGTTCCGCGCGAATGGAGGAAGAATTACTATGCGAAAAGTTCGTGCCCCTCGTTTCTTCCCTGATGGACGATTAAAACTTCTACCGTCGAATTTACAAATTCCTTCGGGGTCTTCGACTGACGGAAACGCATTAGTAGTTCGCTTCGCCCAACGAATTTAACCCTCTTCCCCGTTAGCATCGCGTAGCACAGACCTATCTCGAATTAGAATTTAAATCCGCGGAACGGCTTACTCGTAACAGCTCGATTTCTTTCGTCGCGATTACTCGGGGATAAGTGTGTTTCTTGTTCGAGAGCCATTTCTTTTATAAATGTCTTTAAATAGTAAAAACAAAGTATATTTATTACGTCTGAAATAAATTTGATTACTTTTGTTTCATATTCTCATCGTTGCATCCCTATGTATGATGATATTTAACATGACCAATTTTTTTTAGCTCCCTTGAATGTTTTAATTCTTCGTAAATTAAACAAAACAAAAAAATATATTCTATATTTGATTTTCGATAACGCGCCTAATCGTTATCGATCTGTAAGATGAGTTTCGATAAGCGGTACCTTTGATATCGTAGGTAGATCAAGGTAGATAGGGTACGCATGCGCATTTTCAATGCACAGTGGCGCTCGATGGCGTTCGCGACGGTACGTTCTCATGAGGTGGGGGAGTGGGGGATTAATCACGTTCGGTCGAACGGGGAAAGGCAGTCGCGGCGCGGATATTGCACCGTCTGGCTGTAAGAGAGTATAGCGAATTGTGTTTGAGGACAGTGGGAAAAATTCGCGTTCCATTGACAGATCTACGAGAATAACGTTTAAAAGGTCTATCAAACGAACGAACTAACGATCGAAATAAAAGAAAAAAAAAAAAAGAAAGAAAAAGAGAAAGAAAGGAATTAGAAACATTCGAAATTAATTTATCCACGATACCACACCACGTGCTTCATTCGTGAAGAATTTCATTAGCGTTCATTGCTCTTCTTTGTCCTCCTTCCTCCGTCTTTATATCATTCATTTTGTCTAATATTTTTTTTGTTAAAACGAACAGTCCGATAAGACGGACAAAAGAGAAAGAAAGACAGACAGACAGACAGACAACACACGAGTCAAAAATTGTCATTTATCTTTGTAGTAATTAAAATAGATAGAGAAAACAAGCGTGTTATTTAAAATAAAAATTCATTGTTTGATTTGTTCTCTTTCTCTCTTTCTTTGATTAGTGCAATAACAGAAACGTGTGTGCGCGCGCGCGTCTTCGCGATCTTACAATTATTAATAGTTAGTAGTTCGACGTAAGCGCAAGTGTGTATTGTGTCACGCGTAAAGTGTCTATTGCTGTTGCATACGACGTTTAATAAAAATCATGATGAAGGAAAAACATATCAAGACTTTTAAAGAAGATCTTTGATTCTGAGTGTTGTCTGTTGGTGGTCAGGTCCGTGCTTATTGTTCCTGCTTTTTGATTCTGCTCGTGTTGTCCAGGACGTTTACCTCAGATCGCCTTGACATTGAGCTTGGAATCTTGCCTGACGTTTCTGCTTTAACTTTTTGAACCACGCAACGCCCCCTTTTCATCGCTTCGACACAACGTTCAAGAGAAGTCTCACGCTATATTTCAAATACCTTCAAAAAAAAAAAAAAGAGAAGATTGGTCATCTTTTACATCTTTTATTCCTTCCTTTGTGTCATCGGTGAGTTTAAAGCTACCTAACACTTTCTCTTTTTATGCTAGTTTCGTTTTTCTATTCTGTTTTATTCTATTCTATTCTATTCTATTGTATTTTGATGATTTAGAAAAGTTTATAGGCCTTCGTGAAAAAAAGAAATCGATGGAGATATTGTTAAAGTCCTTAGTTTTTACCTTAGTCGGTGATGGTCATTAAGTTTTATCCGGAACGTATCGTGGACGACGGTGTAAAGTGCGATCGAAAATTGTTCCGTGCCGGCTTCACGAGGTAGGGGAAAGAGAAATAGAGAGAGAGGGTACTGTATTTACCACTACGTAACCCAGATGTACGAGTGATAGGGCTCTCTCATGCGACCTACATAAACAGGTGTACCGCCGGTGTTAGTTCGTTTCGGCGATCAAGCGTTTCTAAGCATTTCGTAACGACGCGCCGTTATCGTCATTTTCATTGGAAAAATCAATGCTATTTGAGCGCCTATCTCGTCTAACGATAATTTCTTCTTCTCTATTATTTTCTTACTTCTTTTTATTTGTTATTTATTTATGTCTATTTCTCAACGTTAAATTTATAACGACCGCTATTAATCTTAAATCCGTAATTAAAATTTTATTGTTCTTTTTTTCATATGATTTAACGATTGCTGTAATGATAAATATAATGTTCCTTTATTATTATTATCCAATAACTTTTTTTGTATTATTTCAGTCAATACCAAATTGATAATTATTATTGTTTAAAGGTTGATCATTTGATTGAATATAATTTAGTATAAAAATGTTATTGGTATAGGTTTAATGCTTAACAATTCTATTTTTATAAAGCTTGACTTGTCTAGGATTTATCTGTAAAAAGAAGAGAAAGAAAGAGAAAGAAAGAGAAAGAGAGAGAAACTAGGAAACAATGTTACGTTAAATGCGTTTCCTCTGTCCTTTGTATTTAACGTGAGCAACCCAACTAGGACTCGCCTTCTCGTGACAAACGAAAAGTTAGAGCGTAAGCCGAAACTCGGTCATTACGCGATTTTCACTTTGCTGCTTTAACGAACTTTCTAAGCATCCTTCGCGATAGAGTCTGGGGGTGAAGAAGAGGTGCTGGGAGGGTCTTCTTTACCCCCAAAAGCGTTTTAAAAGAATTACTTTTCGCGGTTCGACTTGATTGATCGTTCGTCGTGTCAAAGCTTCTACCTAATTCCTCAAGATTCTTTCTACCTTCTTCTTCTTCTTCTTCTTCTTCTTCTACTTGGTTAGTTTACGCCTCTACGATTAATTATGCTAACGTAAATCTACGAGCTTTACCATCATCTCCGCCCACTACCGGTTCTATTACATCGAACATTATTACTTTTTCTTCCTTCAATTTGATTACTTTATCGTTATTTTAAATACGAATCGAGAATCTTTAGAAGATCGAAATAGAACCAACCCCACCCTCTTAATGACACCACCTGCTGTATAATCTCACCCAACGTGTAATAACTTTCTCCCCTCCTCCAATAGATAAGGGTGTACAATTTGGTGATATTTAACAAGCTGTATTTAATTGGTTGATTATTGAATTAATATCATTCTTACTTTTTGTTTGTTTGTTTGTTTATATCCTCTCTTATTAGCAACGTTCCATATTCAACATCGTTAACGACGAAATACATTTTGTTATCGAGTATCAAATATTATATATTTTTATTCGTTTATTTATTTTTTTTTTTCCGAATAGATTTGTTTTCAGAAATTTATTATTTTCATTTCCTATTTCTTCAGATTTTTCTTTTATATACGATCGTTTTACATATATATATATACATAGTTGTATTTTTATTGCATCGTACTTTACTGACACGCGAAGTCTCATAAATTTCACGAATTATCGAAATTTCTCGCTTTTTACCCTCTTCGAGATCGATCGTCACTCATGTCATCTCTCTCTCTCTCTCTCTCTCTTTCTTTCTTTTTTTCTTTTTCTATTTTTCTTCGTTTTTTATATCATTTATCTACTACTGTGTGTACGATATCAATGCATATAGATATTTATTATGCATAGAAACTAGTATGCTACTTGAATATATTTATATATATATATATATATATATATATATATATTTGTACGAGTTCGCGAAAAACTAGGACAATTTCAAAAATACTTGTCAACGAGTAACGCAAGATAATTCTAAAATCGTTTGTTAGAATTATTTCGAATTCACGTGTCTATCTCTCTTAATTAAAATCTGTCAAGGATGCTGTCAAAAAAAAGAAAAAATATTTCTTAATACGCTATAAATAATCCTTCAATTTACATTTAATTTTCTATACACTTTTTTCAGCATTCGTTTTTTCTTATCGGCCTAATTAATTGTATGATTTTCTTTCTCGTAAATGATATCAAAAAAAAAAAAAAAAGGGAAAACCAGGTAGAAAAAAAATTATCTGCACAAATATAAAGGATAGGGTTGTGCATTTTTATATAAAATATTCATCACGTTATTGTTCCTCTAACTTACTTTCCTTTGCGTTCTTTGTCATCTCACTTTTTTTTTTCTTTTCTTTTCGTTTACCACAATCCTTCCTATTTATTTTTATTAGCAACCCGTATACGAAAACACGCCGAAGGGCGGTGGGGGGGGGGTGGTAGGGTTTCGTCGGTTCGTCGGACGTGATCGCTGTGATTTCAAAGAGGATTTTGTTCTACGAAATGTAACAGCCATCTCTCCCTCTCAGCTTCCCCCATCAAACCCCATATCTAGCTACCTAGCAACCTCCCTTTCTCTCAGTCAGTACCATTCGCTACTATTTTCGTCCGCGAATGCGGTAGCTTAACTACGTACGTGTCCAACGTACTCGTACTCGTAACAGTTTGTCCTGATACAAAGTCCGAGCTAGCTAGCTAGGACCGTTACCAGGATCGTTCTCGGTTTCTCTCCACCTTGTCTCGCTTTTAATTGCCATGGATACTAAAACCAGTTGGATTCTTCTTCTCTTCTTTTCTTTTCTCTTCTCTTCATTTCCTCATCCTCGAGAATTCTCATTATCCAACTTAAAATCCGTCACGTTGCACGTTACATTTATCAAATCTTATTCGAATCAAATCTTTTTTTTATGTGCTCTTGTTTTTTTTTCTTCATTCTAATTCGTAAATTAATTTCTTAATATTTATATTTATTTTTGCAGCACAATAGTCATTTTTTTTTTCTATATATTGGATTATTCGGAAAGTAATTTATAATTATAATTATAATATATAATTTATATATATAAATCTACTAAAATATCTTAAGCAAATAAATATGTCTAATAAACTATAATGTATAACTCTTATGTCGCTAATAATCCTCGATGGTTGATGCGACATTAAATAAAGCTATAAACAAAACAAAAAATTTATATACATATGTATAATGAAAGATAAAATTTAAGGACAACTTTGTTTTATTTCGATTTATTAATAAATATATATTTAAATCATTAGATTATATATTTTCTATATTTTAATGAATACATTTTATAATGAATTTTATTTAAAACTAGAATAGAGGAAATTTTGTATAAGAATTCAAGGTTAATATTCCTTCTTTCAAACGAATTATTATAGGAACTTATTTTAGAGCTTATCGATTTTATCTTCATATCTTTTTATATCCTCTCTTTTATTTTTTTTCCTTTATAGAAAAAATACCTGAACGATATATACTCAAGATCAAGGATTAGATATACCTAACGTATCTATTTCACATGCGAACATGACACTCTCCCTTATCATTACGATTGAACCCGATAATATTTTGTTGTTATCTTTTCCATATTCTCCCTTTTCTTCTTTCCCTCCCTATTTTTTTTTTTCTATTTATTTTCCTGGTTAGAGAATTGAACACAACCATCGATCTTTTCGTTCTTACAGGTATACACATATATATATATATGTGTGTATACCTCTACGTGCGTTGATTGCGGCCGTGAAAGAACGCGTATTTGCAGTGCGTTCGGACGCGGGTATTTAAATTTTAAATGGCCAAGCCAGCGTGCTAGCGTACCGTTGTATATTGTACGTGCTTGTTACGGTCAGATAGCTGTAATTCGTTGTACACATCCTCGACGCCATCGATCCTTTTTGTCGTTTGATCGAATCGGACACTCGACTGGAGTAACTTGTGTCTCGTACGAATATATATATATATATAGATAGATATCTATCGAACTAAAATACAGATATATA